TCCGGAATAAACACGCTCCTAATCAACGTAAAGTGGATTTCCCCCATTGGAACCATTGTTTTGCGATCGCAGTAACGATCGCAAAAATGTCATTGTCAAGCGATTTCAACGTCATGTGGGATAAGTGTCTAGCGGGGCACCACTGTAATCCTATAATCTAGCCCGCTTGTTGTGTAGGATGTCATTAGTGAAATGGAAAAGAGAAATGGATATCTCCATATTGAAATGAAGCACACTCTCTGAGAGCATTAACATTTACAAACAGTCAATTTCTGCAGTCCTCCCCACAGTTACATAAGTGTTACTACCCTCAATGAAAAAGTCTATTTGGCTGGCATTGCCCCTCCAGCAGCGTACTGAGAGGTGGTAGCAAATAATACACAAAATGTGACACAGCACCAAACCAAGCCACTTCATTGACATCAACCCCCATGACGAAAGCTAAAATCAAGGAAATTTTCTGCACACATCTCAGGCTCTAAATATTAAACCAGGAGAGGCTAGGTAAAACCTATGAAGAACAAAAACAATGGACCTTGATAAATGGATGAATGCAAAAGAGTGTCTCCCACCAGGACAAGATTCTGGCTGGGCCATCTAGAAGTCACTTAATAGACTTCAGAGAGAAGTAGGAAGAGCAAAGAATAATCAAATAAAATGGGGCTACTTGGATACAGGACAAATGTTGTGTTGACTGTGGAGAAATTCAATCAATGCAACACTTACGTACATGCAATTTATGCCTCACCCTATGTACAAAAATGTAGCCCACCTCTGGTCAAAAATAATCTAATTAAATATTTTAATTTGTTTTTTAAATTTTACCTGATTTATACACATCCATAATTCAAATTGTGCAACACTCTAATATGAAAAAAGAAGTAAAGGAAAGTATTACTAGTCTAGTCCAATTAATCCATATTTTGGAAATCTCTTTGTACTGAAAGAAAAGGTTTAGTCCCAGGTAATGAAGGTTCTTCCTATTTAGGGAATGAAAGGGTGGGTCTACTTGTTGAGTTTACATGGGCAGGAAGTTAAGGTAGAAAAAGGTGCAACAATCTGCCCATGTTTAGAGAAGAGAAAAATCTGTTGAGATGTGTGGCCTGGATTTCTCCATAACTTCTGGCTTTAAAATGAAGTTTTTTCCTTCTTTGGGGAAAAATGAGCATTATGAAATGTTGGGAACAGAAAGAAAGAAAAAGCACAATATACCAGGACTTGTAAGTAATTTAATGTCCACGGGGCGTGGGGGCACTTAGAACCAAAATGAAAGTCTTTACAATTAAGAATATGTATCTCCAGTTTTGAGTCCTCTCCCTCTTATTTTTTAAACCATTGACTGAAAAGTCTTGAAAGGCAGCAACTGTAGGATTAGATGAAGACCGATGTTCTTCCTCCCAAGGATTCTCTCTCACTCTGCATCAAGGCGTGGCAATACAGGAAGAATAAGATTTCCAAAAGCAGAGTCCTGGGTTATAAAATATCCTGAGGAATGTGCATGAGCATGCTGGAAGAAAAACAAATGCATTTGAGAAAGTCATACACGTAAACCAACAGAAAATGAGTTTTCCTCCACTCTCTTGTCCTTGAGATTTACACAGAGCTTGGGAAAGTCACTTTTTAAGGGAGCAGGCTGACAGCTGAATTCTGGGAACGGCAGTACTTCTGGGAATTGTAGTCCCAAAAAGGAACTTTCCCAAGTTCTGCATTTCAATAAACGTATCTGAGTGGAGAGTTGCGGCTGATGTCTTATGAAGAGCAGGATGTGTAACCCAGTGTAAGAGACAGAAAGGACAATCTGCTTATGGAGTTGTCTAGGAGTCCTTTACATAGGCTGCCTCTACACTGCCTGCTACTTGAATTCCAGCTTAGCTGGAGGCAGCTACTAAGGCATGTGTCTATAATGAAAAATATGATGTGGCACAGGCCAAGTTCTGATACTGTTACACTTATGGTATCAAATGTTATGTCTGGAACATTAAATTACATAGTTGTCCTACAATTCCGAAGCTTCATTAAGCATGTTCGTTTTGCTTTCAATACTACTCTTAACCAGAGTTTGGAAAAATTGGGTTTTTGAAATTACAGTTCCAGAATCTCCCAACGAATATGATCTGTGAGCATGGCAGCTGGAGGATTCTGGGAGATATAATCTCTCTCCCCCCACCCTTCGAAAAAAAGAAAAAGCAAGAACCAATTTCTTAATATTTTGGGTCTTGGCTTATGCAGACAAAATACAGTGGTGTCTCGCATAGCGAGGTTACTCCGTTCTGGATTAACCTTCGCTATGCTGAAGCATCGCTGAACGGGGCAGGGAATTCCATTGGAACGCATTAAACATGGTTTAATGCGTTCCAAATGGGCCGAATACTCACCATTCAGCAATGCTTCTTAATGGCCGGCAGCCATTTTCGCGCCCTCCCCTCGCTTAACGAGGGCGCGAAAACGCTGCGCGCGGCCATTTTGGGCCATTTCCGGGCTTCCGGCGGCCATTTTGTCCGCCTAACAGCTGATCGTTGGGCTTCGTTTTGTACATTGTCGTTTTGTACATTTTGTACGCTTACCGGTCTTCGCAAAGCGAATTTTGCCCTATTAAAAAAACGTTGAGCGATCGCACACCCCTCCAAAAAGAAAAAGAAAAAGCAAGAACCAATTTCTTAATATTTTGGGTCTTGGTTTATGCAGACAAAATATCTCTCAGTTGTGCAGAAGCACAATGTGGGCTGCTCCAACCATTAGCTGAGTGAGGTAACTGCTTTGTGGGAAATGTATCGCATTAGCGATCCCCAAAAGGGGATCGCTATGCGATTTCGTCATTGTACGGTGCGCTCGTTAAGCGAGGCACCACTGTATCTCACAGTTGTGCAGAAGCACATTGCGGGCTGCCCCAACTGTTAGCTGAGTGAGGTAACTGCTTTGTGGGAAATGTTTTAGGTGGTATGGGAGGATATATTTGATATTTTTATTTATTGCACCAGTAACAGATAGCAAAAGAAAACAATTACAGTAAATCAAACTAGCATTAAAAATGGCACCACAACAGCTAAAATTGACACAATAAAATTTAGTGCATATTAAGTATGTAAACATGTTAAATGCCTTTAAAACAGGTAAAACTTTACTTGTAAAACAAATGACTTTTTCTAAAATACAGATAAAACTATTAGGAGGCAACATTAACAGGTTTTATCAGGTTATGGTCAATCTGTTATGTTTTCAGATTTCCATGCTGATTTACAGAGAAAGAGTCCACAAATTTCTCCTTGCATCTGGCAGCCTTTACTGCCGACAAAGCAAATGTTTCTGTCACTTACTGGTTTGTCTCTTGAAGCAGGAAACCCAATTTTTATGTCGCTTCCCAATGCTTCTTCTTAGCAAGGGGACTAAACAACATTCTTTGATGCCAATATATGACTGCCAATGGCGAATACAGTGGCTTAAATCTTCCAAAGCTAGTCACCCACAGATAAGACAGCCTATCTTGGACGGGTACACATGGACAGAATGTAATCTAGTAAAAGCGTTCCAGTATTCCACTTTCATGGTGCATGGCATGCATTTTTCATATTGATGCTGATCTTTATGCCTGCTAACCACTAAACGGTTTTCAGGATCTGATAGCAGATGTCATTTTGGGCTCCGACATCCAAAACTCTTCTGGTGTCATTTCCCCATGGATTAAGTGCTTGGACAGAGAAACCATAATTTGGGAGTAATTTAGAGAATTTCTGTAACCAAAAATGTCTATGCTGAGTAACCTTCTGTTCCTCTAGATAGATCTAGTTAATTTTATAGCTATAGCTCACTGGTTCTTAACCTTGGGTTACTCAGGAGTTTTGGACTGCAACTCCCAGAAGCCTTCACCACCAGCTGTCCTGATGGGTTTCTGGGAGTTGCAGTTCAAAAGCATCCGAGTAACAAAGGTTAAGAACTATAGCTATAGCTGACCATCCTAATATATATTGCACCAAAAATCAACTGGCATGGGAAGGAGACAGTGGCAGATACAGTATACACTGGCAAAATTGTTTGCACCAATGTAGACTTGAACTTCATTTTAGCTTTCTACTATTAAACAGCTAACACACAGCAGAAACAAAATGTTTTACAGTGGTGCCTCGCTTTACGATTGCCCTGCATTATGACGAATCCGCTTTACGACAATCTTTTTGCGATCGCAAAACAATGGTCTAAATGGGGGAATTTTGCTTTACGATTCTTCACAAAATGAAGATTGGGATTGCTGCCTGGCTGCCCTTTTGATCCTTTTTTAAATCTTCTTTTCTTGATTTTCGGTCAGACATTATAAACATTTCTTTGGATTATTTTTGTTGCCACTACATAGGTTGCCTTTGCCAGCATGCCTCTTCTGGACGGTGAGTTTTAAGCCCAGTGGAACGCATTGAAAGGTTTTCAATGCGTTTCAATGGGCTTTTTATTTTCGCTTTACGATGTTTTCACTTAACGGTGATTTTCCTGGAACGGATTATCGCCGTTAAGCGAGGCAACACCGTATCTGTGCATGAGAGCCAGTAGGTTGCAGACAGACAAAGGGTTGGACTTTAACATGAGGAATCAGGGTCAAAACCTCACATCATGGGACTCATTGCTGTAAGTGGAAATTTTAGCATCCTACTTTCACAAGGCTAGGTAATACTTCAAGACATAAAGCAACGGCTCCTGTCTACCAAGCTGCACATTCTTGCATACACCCAGGTCAGCAATTTCCAGTAATAGAAGGCCAGGACGGATCCCCCGGCAAACTACAAGGCCACTACTGGAAACCAGCAGATCACTAGGTTCCTAAAGTGGTCCATGTTGCTGCTGAAATGTGGCAGTAATTGCAGTGGCTCTTCATGGGGCAGGAAAAGGTGAGAGTGGCTTCCTACACCACAGACATTGAGAACTCTTTCCCTCGAGCAGAGATGGGCGGCTCTGGAAGCCTGTTGCCATCATCCCCATCCCTCCACATCCACTTTGAGCCAGACTAGCCTTTCCCAGCAAAAGCGGACGTGATGAAAAGGTCACTTTCAGTTTACAAATCCATTTCTGCTTTTAAAACTGTTTTTGCAGACTGCTGCATGTAATACCCTATCTGGGATTGCTGCCTGGCTGCCCCTTTGATCCTTTTTAAAATCTTCTTTTCTTGATTTTCGGTCAGATATTTTTAAAATTTCTTTGGACTATTTTTGTTGCCGCCACATAGGTTGCCTTTGCCAGCATGCCTCTTTAGGATTTTTATTTTTTAGTTTTTGGATTCCTCATCCTTTCTCAGTGAAGTATTTCACTGTTTGGATTCTCCCCCTCCACCTCCCCATATTATAGTGGTTTTAGTTTGGGGGTGGGCTTTGATTGTGGTTTTTTTTTTTTTTTTTTGCTTTTATTTGCTTGCTTGCCTTTCTTGTTTTTTGGGAGAGGGGGCTGTGTGTGTGTTTTATTTTGCTACCCCCCCCCCCGTATGTTTGGCATCATGGTGCTGTCCCTATATGATAGATTTTTTCTTTTAATTGACATTTGATTAATATACTGTGGATTTATCCTGTTAAAGATGTACATTTTAGCAGTGGTTTTGACAATTTTTCTTTCTCATTTATTGTCCCCTACCTTTGTGGAAGACTGATTTTTTTCTGTTGCCTTTTGTCTCTTTTTTAAGACTAGGTTTTTAGGGTTATTTAGGGTGTTTGTAGTGCCAGGAAACTGAAATGAAGAAACATACATGGGAAACCTGAAGGAGATTCTCCCTTTCACATAAATGAAAGCACATGCACAAAAAATATGAAACGTTTACCGATCATCGCAAAGCAATTTTCGGCCATCTAAAACATTGTTATGCGATCGCAAAAAACGCGTCGCTATGCGGATTCGTCGTTAAACGAACCGCTCGTTATGCGGGGCACCACTGTATAGGTTTCCTGTTCTGTATTTTAACATTGGGAGCTGAAACACTGCCTGTATGATGTTCACCTCCATCTTAGGATTCCTCCTTCCTTTTATTTGGGGAGGAAGAAAATAAATTTGGCCCTGTGCCTTAACTACCGCACCACCATTTTAGTGTGGTCTGGGCCACAAAAGTGGCCAAGGGGCAGCATGCTTCCCATGGGCTGTGTGTTGCCCACTTCTGTCTGCTCATTTTTCCAGGTTGGTGAACTTCAAAAAGTAGAACTACTGTAACATTTCCTGGCTTTTGTGGTACACAACAGTTTCTCATCCCAAGGGGTCCAAATGGCTCCTCAGGAGCCACAGTTTATGAGGTAACAAAATTTTAAAAATGAAACTTGCCACGTCATCCATCTGAGTCTGTGTGGACCAGGACAACTTACCTGCAAAGCAGCTTTTTGTTGTGCAGCTATGTGCTGCTGCTCAGCATGATCACGAAAATCCTTATTAAGGGAGGATCGAGACAGAGAGATGCTGCAAGCAACCAGGAAAAATAAAGATCATCTCAATGCAGAGAAGGGAGCAACTTAGCAAAGGAGCAAGGTGGAGCTCTGTCATGGCCAGAGCGGGCATGTCGGAGCTTAGTGGGCCCACTGCTCTTTTTTACTTTAAAACCAAAGATTTGAAATCGTGAGTGGTGGTGGGGAAATCATCTGACATGCAAGATGTGAGGTAAGTACTGTACTCCACATGAACAATTCTGATAAATAACAGTGGGCTATATCTAGACATTGTTATACTTACAATAGGCCCACTGAAACCAGTAAGACTTAAGTTAATCATGGCTAACTCTTGAATTCAGTTGGTCTAGCTTATATAGGACTGACTCTGGATCCAACCAATTCCTCCCAGCAATAGGAGGTTACGTGAAAAGGAACAATGTCCATGCCTCAGTGGAAATCAAAAGGATGTCAATGGAAGATGGGCAGAAGAATAGCCCAGCACCAATACTACCCATCCCCCAATACAATGACTTGCCTAAGTGATACCTGGAGTATCACCAGGTACCCACTGTCTTCATGATGGGAAGTTCATATGTTTGGTGCAATGGCTGAAGAACTCTGTATGCGGGGAAAGAGTTTCCCACTAAGCTTGTAGCTAACACACCATCAAGTTACAGTACACAAAAACATGATTACTCTGCCATAAGCAATACATTAAATACAGTAGTAGCCGCTTATCCATGGGATCAGAATCCGTTGATTCACTTATCCAGTCTGAAAATATTAAAAGAGAAATCCCAAATACTATATATTTCTAACCATGAAGTTACCAGAACTGGCCAGTAGAGGGAGCCAGAGACCATGCTATGTATAGTATTTGGGATTACAGTAGCATTTGCTATAATCTATGTTTTTCAGCTTCTGCTGGAAGGTTTTGAACTGATCCCCCACATATATGGGGTTCCGACTGTACTGCTAGAGAATTGGTGTGGGAAAGAGAAACAAAACTGGGCTCCTCTTAGAAGCACCAGGTGGGAAAGCTCTGGTGGTTTTGAGCAACAATGTCATCAGAGGCACAGCCTCGCTCTTGACATCATCCGGTTTGTAGAAAGGTGGGCTGTCAGAATCTAGCCCTCCACCTAACAACAGTTCCCCATGTCTGTTTGAGATTCCAACTCTTTATTATTTAAATGTGCCTCAGATTAATATGTTCAATTCCAGTATCCTAGACCAAAACAGAATTGTTTTTCTGTAGCTTATACAAACCACTTTTGGCTGAGAAGTGGGCAAAACATAACACACACCCCTTAAAAACATAACTTATACACACACAGAAACATCCAACACCCATTTAAGTATATTAATCTGTTCCTTCTCTAGAGAGAAAGGGCAAAGGTGATTCTCAGAAGAGAGAAGTGGGTGTACGCTACCTGCCTCCCATAAACTAATTGCGGTGAACAAGGAGCTGTCAATGGCTCAGTGGGCCCATTTGATGTGAACTCTGCTGGTGTGAGAAAGTGCCATTTGGCTTTCCTCTGCCACCAGACTGAGGCAAAGAGACAAGCCTTCAAACAGATGGTACCTGGCTCCAGGGTGATTTGTCGATGACTGGTTTTGCATGAGCAGCTTCCGTTTCTCCTTGTCCAACTCAGCCAAGATGGCAACCCTGTTTTTATTCTGGAAGCCTGGCAAGCACGAAAAGAATGTAAATGTCAGTGAAGCGTGCAATTTCTTTGAACCACTCAATAACCTCCCTGGCTTAAAGCCCTCTCTCCAAAGGCAATTAGGATGATGAATATCAATGGTGAATATATTAATCTTCAAAGCCAACAAGTGCTGCCCCACAAGCCTGTTTATAAATTTCCTTTCTTTTTTTCCCTCGTTTATAACCAATATTGCTTGCTAACAATATTATACATACTAACAGGGAAAAGGAATCTGTAATCTTGATTTAAGTTTCTCTCAGATGCCAATTTCAAAACTGAGAGTAAACTTCCGTATGAAGCATTATTTCCTTCAATATACACCTAAGCATGGATGTTTGCACTTTAATTATCACATCCTACCAAAACAAAATGTACGAGAAGAGAATGATGTGAGCCAACGTTTCAATTGTTTATGCCACGGTGGATTCCAGCAAAATAGGCTGAAAGAATAATATAAATGGATGGGAAAACCAACTGGTGCGGGCATGTCCCTCTGCCACACACACATTCCTGACAGGAACTTGAAAGTCAAAGCCCATTCAAGAAAGATCTAGCAAATACAGAAGCCCTATTCAGGAATTACACCTATAACTGTTTACCAGCCTAACAGAATTTTGGAGATGCAGCACGCGTATAAACCCTGTGCCCACATCTCTCTCACATGGAAATCACTGAGAACTTTGTGCAAGGAACCTGAAGTGTAGATGGTAGCACTTTTGTGACTGGAAGTCCTGTTCATGCCAGAACTATAAGCACACTGGGCCAAACACATCCAGAGTCTCTGCTTCAGACTTCTGTATTCCTTAAACAAGCCTCAATGGGGAGGGGACCCAGGGGTGGGGCTTACAGTATGTGTGCACTCCCCAACTTTTGTACATGGCTTCAGGCGTTGCAATACCTGAATAAGTTTTGAAGTAAGGATGGAAACACAAGGGAGTGGGGAAAACGAATAAAACAAGCATGCTTACAGAAGGAAGTGTACTTCAAAACATTATTCCTCAACATTTGTGGATCTGAGGCAGCACAAGACTCTTGTACAAAAAGGGGTCCAATAAGTGGAAGAGAAGGAACATCACACTGTTCAAGCCCTGGCTTGTGCTGGGCTCCTTGCTCTTATTGGCAACAATAAGAAAGATGGGAACAGAATCTGCTTTGGACCACAAGTCAGTGGGCTGTAGCATTAAGGTGTGTATTTCATTAGAAAAGCAAGTAAAAGCAGCACTAGCTATTACTGAGGAACGAGGAATTAAACATGTAATTGCATTTAAAATTTCAGCTATAAAAGTAACTAAATTTAAACGCCTGGCGTTCTAACTGTAATTAATTCCTTTTCAAAAGTACCCCCCACGCCAACATTTGCATTATATAGCGATCTCACAGGTTTGGGAGATAGGCAAGTGTTGAACTGAGCAAAGATGCAGACAAAGAGGAGCCCTTTCTCATGAGGACAACCTGCTAGGAAGCTTTAAAAAAAAGAGCACACAAGACAGATGAGACAAGCCAAATGCCTGCCAAACTCTGACTGCTGAGTCTCCTTAAAGGAAATACCCACACAACAAGAGTAATGCTCATTCTGTCCTATATAGCTCTACAAGCAGATATCTACGGAGGAGTAAAAGAAAAAGGTTCTTCTGCAATTCCTCCTCCTCCTCCTCCTTCACATTACTTCTGTAGTCAAGGAATAGAGCAGTTTTTTGCAGGCTTGTCTTTATTCCACTACGTGTTTCGGACTGAGAGGGGAAACCTCTTCAGCATCTTCCAAGTAGCGAATATAGAAGTGGTTTCCCCATTCACTCCTTCTGCTGACGTCCTCGGGTGGTGCAGGTTGCCCAGCTCACACATGTTGTCCTGACTCACAGGGGCCACAGTGGAGACTCAAATTCTGGCTCTGGAGCCAAATACCTAAGTCACTGAAATATCCAGCCAACAAACTCACAGAAGCCTCCACTTCACAGAGAATAGCTGGGATAGGACTCCCACAACAGAGTGCCACTCCTAAAGCAATCATGAGAACCTGACTTGGAACAATATATTCACTTCCTACTGGGGCCCACCAGTTCTTGGCTGGGAATGCACTCTTACACTGGTTTTCAAAAAGTTAAAGTCTCCACTGGTTGTAGACATCTCGCCTACACAACAGAACCCACCAGCTCGGCTGTCCACGTAGGGATTGACTGAATACAGAAACAGAACATCAATTTCTAAGCAATGTGGCCAGCAAACAAGTGCATACAGTACTGTAGCTTAATTGTGCCAACTGCTATCACAATCCACACGCCAATTCTCCCATTACTTTCTAACAAGAATTTACATTCTAAGATGTGCTCCCACATGTACAGTAACAATTAAGAGAAATTCATGTTGCTCATTACGTTTGTCTTGAATTATTAACATAAGAATATTTTACTTGCCTCTGATAATTATGATCAGAAAGATCATAATGCATTAGAAATGCATTAGAAATACAGTATCTAATGCATTTAGTGGCTAATGAATATAGAAACCTATATAATTCTGTGTGTGCATGTGTTAATGAAGGCCTTTATGTTTCAGGTTTTGCATTGGAGCAGTAATTTATATGTTAAATAAAATGGTGTCCAAAGACTATTCCACTTGAAGAATAAGAACATCCTAAAATGGACTCTAACTTTAAATGTGATAAGCTGAACTGAAGCAGTGTCACCTTTTTACAGACAAAGTGTTCCAACAGTTTCCTTTTCGTTTTTCATGTAGAAAAACTGCCAGTAAATTAGTTCATTTTTTCTTTAAAAGTTGTACATTATGCATTCATTACCCATAAGGAAAAACTGATTTTGTCAAAGTCAACTTACACTACCTTATCTGTGCTTTCATGTAATAAGCCTGGCAGGTAATTGTCCAGCAGTAAGTATGGTTAAAAACGATTTTTGGGAGAGATGTTTCAGTCCATAATAAAATGTTTTAAAATTCAGTAAAAGAAGTTTAAAAATTAAACAAGTCTTCTCTCAGATGGTGCTTCCAGTGAAGAATTTGTTAAATCTAGCTTCACAACGGTCTTCCTCCATCAGTTCCTTCCTCTTAAAAGACACTCTGAAGGCATTTTTGTGAAGAGGGACTCCCATTAGTCTGTTTCTATATTTCCAGCAACAACAATAATTATTCTTGTTGCACCTTTGAGACCAACAGATTTTCTTTCCATGTCTCCATGGCCAGGACCCTATTGTTAGTGCCAATCACAGAAGACCACAGATGCCTTGGGCCTTTTTTTAAAGGAGAAAGGTGGAATATTTTAAATAAATAAATAAATGAAATTCAATAATAGACATCAATTAAAACATGAAAAGAAAGAAAAAATGATCACATACTAACCATACAGTATATAAAAAATAGCTAGCATAGGAGATAGTAGCAAAACAGAGACAATTAATCCCAAAATAACAGGATGTCAATAAATAAGAGAGAATTAATCAGGGATAAGGCTGTGGAAGGCCTGAGTAAACAGACAAGACTTCACTTGTTCTCTAAAGCTGAGGAGAGAAGGGGCCGGTCGCACCTCTACCAGGACAGAGCTCCAGTGAGGCAGCCACCGGTAAGCAAAAAGCAAAGACGAGTTTTCACAGATTTTCACTCAGTCCTAAAGAGAAACACACACAGAGGCAAAGATTACCAAATGTCAACATTTACCTTGTCCAGGAGGATTTGAAGCCATCTTCCTTGATTCCACCTTATTTTTTTATGAAAAACTACGACTCGTAGTTATTTGAAGAGCTATTGAAAATGAACATAGGTTCACATATTAATTTAACAGCCTACAATTATAAAGCTTATTAACATGGTTAATGCTACAATTCAGCAACCTGCAGAACTTGAAGAAAACTTGCAAAAATAAAGATTATGATTGCATGACACAAGAAGTGTGAGAACACCAGCGTGTGGAGGAGCAACACACTCCTACAGGCCGCCTGGTCACTCCTGCCCTGTATGGGGTGGCAAACAAGGGGCAGGCAAAGTGTGGCCTGCAAGGTCATTTCTGCAGCCCCCAGATAACTCTAGAGATCTCCAACGCAAATTTAAAAACATTTTTGATTCTTTAATTCCTGCAGGCCTCCCGGATGCTTTTTGTCTTAGAGGGGTTGGGGTTGCTCCCCAAGTCCCTCAGCTCCCCACACGAGAAGGGGCCATCTGGACACTTCTGGTTTGGGGGCATTTGGAAACCGGTGTAGCCCATGGTAGATGTTGGAGGTGAAAATTTCACATACACGCACACATACATAGGCAACCCAAGACCTGCCAAAGTTGCTTCACCCTTGGTATCTAAAGCAACCAGGGATCTTCATGGCAGGGACTGTTTCTCCTGCTGTGTGACCCCTGATTTGTTCCTCTCCCAGCAAGCCAGAAATGGAATCCACAAACTAATCTAAAACAAACCATGGGTTCTACCTCTGCCGTCTTGGGAAAGAAATCATTCCAACGAGATTCACACTTAAGGAACCAACCACAGTGCACAGCCCCAGCATGCTGTTGATGCAGGAGCTGCTGCTGCTGAATGCTGCCTTCCGCTGCTACACAAATGCTTTTACCGAGCAGCAGCAACATAGAGGTTGCTGTGTGTATCTTGAAGACTAACAGATGAATTGTGGCATACCCTAGACCTGCACTGTATGGATAAGCACACTGTGGTCCAAGGACTGCATGCAGCTAAAGGTTGTTTCCATGGCCCCTGGGCTCCCAAATCGCCCTGAACCATTCATGAAAGCAACATTTCTTCACCAGCACCCCAGCAAGTCAGGAAAAAATTATTTTCTTTTTAAAATCAGAATAGATAAAAGTCAAGAACTCTTTTAAATTGGATCCAGTTTAATTTAATTTAAATAGAATTTTTTGGCGGGGTTAAAGTTCTTATTGCTTAAAAATCCCTTTCTGTACAGTTGAAAGGTATCATTGCAAACTTACACATTCTAACTCGATACTTTGAGACAATGATTGAAATTTTGTTGCTCAGCTAATAGGTTGCAACTACAGTAGGACCACTGAATCAGTGGCTATTTGGTGATTCAATGGGCCTACTCTAGTTGTGACTTACTACACAAAGCAACAAGATTTCAAGCAATGGATCTACTGTATACAGTCTTGTCTAAAAAGTTCTGTAAATATGGCCCAACTGTTCTTCAACAGGGCCACAGTTTTATTATGTTTCATAGCCTTCGGTATAGATTACTTAGGTTCATCTTTCTATCTCCTAAAGTATTCAGTTTAATGTATAGTGCAGAAGATCAGAAAATTCTGTAGGTCTCAAACTGTGTTTGTGTCTTCAGAGATACATATATGTAGCTAAAGTGTTTCCCACTTTGGTTAAATTTATTTATTTATAAATAATATTACTACCTCTCCTTTCTCATAAAAAAAAAACCCAAGGTGACTTACATCATTAAAAACACAACATTAAAAGCTAAAAACAGTACATTATTCAAACATTTTTAAAAAGTTAATAATATATAAAAAAGGCTAGGTAAGCATTTTAAAAAACATATTTAGAAGTAACAAACTATAAACAGTAGGACCATTGAATCAGTGGCTATTTGGTGATTCAATGGGCCTACTCTAGTTGTGACTTACTTACTACACAAAGCAACAAGATTTCAAGCAATGGGTCTATACAGTTTTGTCTAAAAAGTTCTGTAAATATGGCCCAACTGTTCTTCAACAGGGCCACAGTTTTATTATGTTTCATAGCCTTCGGTATAGATTACTTAGGTTCATCTTTCCATCTCCTAAAGTACAGTACTTAGTTTAATGTACAGTGCAGAAAATTCGGTAGGTATCAAACTGGGTTTGTGTCTTCTGAGATACATATATGTAGCTAAAGTGTTTCCCACTTTGGTTAAATTTATTTATTCATAAATAATATTACTACCTCTCCTTTCTCATAAAAAAACCCCAAGGTGACTTACATCATTAAAAACACCATCTCCTAAAGTACAGTACTTAGTTTAATGTACAGTGCAGAAAATTCGGTAGGTATCAAACTGGGTTTGTGTCTTCTGAGATACATATATGTAGCTAAAGTGTTTCCCACTTTGGTTAAATTTATTTATTCATAAATAATATTACTACCTCTCCTTTCTCATAAAAAAACCCCAAGGTGACTTACATCATTAAAAACACAACGTTAAAAGCTAAAAACAAAACATCTGACAGTCAGTTATGAAGAAAAAAGCTTGCCTGAAGAAAAAGGTCTTCACCTGCTTGTGGAATGATACCAAAGATGGGGCCAGCCTGGCTTCCTGTGGGAGGGAGTTCCAAAGTCTGGGAGCAGCAACAGAGAACACCCTCTCCCACGTCCCCATCAGCACACTTATGAGGGTGGTGGGATCAAGAGAAAAGCTTCTCCTGATGATTTTAACACCAGGGCTAACTCGTAAAGAGAGATACAATTTTTGAGATCGCTTGGACTCAAGCCATTTATGATTTTATAAGTTAAAACCAGCACTTTAAATTATGCCTGGAAACAGATTGGCAGCCAGTGGAGTGGCTGCAATAGGGGCAGTTATGTGGTCTCTGTGACCAGTTCCAGTTAGCAATCATGTTGCAGCAGTTTGGACCTGCTGTTTCCTAGGCAAAAGGTGTGCTTATACCATGCTATAGTGATGTTGAAAGGCAGACCTTTCAACATCACAGTAATCCATGCTTATGCTCCAACCACTGATGCTGAAGAGGCTGAAATTGATCAATTTTATGAAGACTTACAACACCTTCTAGACCTGACACCAAAGAAAGATGATCTTCTCATTATAGGGGACTGGAATGCTAACGTAGGGAGTCAAGAGATAAAAAGAACAACAGGAAAGTTTGGCCTCCGAGTTCAAAACGAAGGAGGGCAAAGGCTAATAGACTTTTGTCAAGAGAACAAGCTGGTTATGACAAACACTCTTCTCCAACAACACAAGAGGTGACTCTACACATGGACATCAACAGATGGGCAATACTAAAACCAGATTGATTATGTTCTCTGCAGTCAAAGATAGAGAAGCTCTATACAGTCAGCAAAAACAAGACCTGGAGCTGATTGTGGCTCTGATCATATAGCTTCTTATAGCAAAACTCAAGCTTAAACTGAAGTAAGTAGGAAAAACCACTGGGCTCATCAGGTATAATCTAAACCAAATCCCTTATGAAGACAGAGTGGAAGTGAAAAACAGATTTAAGGAATTAGATTTGGTGGACAGAGTGCCTAAAGAACTATGGATAAAGGCTCGTAACATTGTACAGGAGGCAGCAGCAAAAATCATCCCAAAGAAAAGGAAATGCAAGAAAGCAAAGTGGCTGTCCAAC